ATTTGGAGAAATTTGAGGACTAAATTAAAAGATTTTAAAAATTTGTAGCTTTTTTAGAGTTAAAGAAAATTCAGGGATCAAGCCCTGAATTTACCCAAGAAAGGTTGGTGAAGTTTGGTATTATATACGGCAATTGGTTTCTGAAAAATCAGAAACCAATTGCTCCTAAATTGAGCCAAAATCCTCTCTCTCAACCTTAACTTCCGACAACGATCTCGACGCCGTCCGAATTCCGATCGTCGTTTTGAAACCACCATCGTGCTCGTTATCGAGTGAGGAACAATTCCCTTAAATTAATTGAAGTGAAACGTTGCCAAACGTCGAGAACCAAACGTCGAGAATTTCAAGTCAAAGTCTCGACGTTTTTTTAGCTCCATCGCCGAAAAAATCTTAAATTCATCGTCGATCGTTGCTCCGTTTACGACACCTCCGACACCATCGTGTTCCTTGTGCCGTTCCGTGTCCACCGGTGTCCTCTTTTTTCTTCGGCGGCGGCGGCGCGTTTGGTGGTAAAGCGGTCAAAGTTTCCGATTTGATGAAATCGAGCTCTCCGCCATTCAAAAATTTGAACCGAGATTTGTAAGTATCTCGAAATCGCTCAAAATAATTTTTAGAAATTTTTCCGTGAATTTTACGCTGCCAGAAGACGTCCAACGCACCCCCACTGCGTGTGGGGAAGGTCGAAATAACCGGTTTGACCGGTTCCAACCCGACCCGTTGACCCGACCCGTAGATCGTTGACCGTTGATCGGGTGACATTTTGGGAATTAATTCGAAATGGGTGTTACATTGGGAATTAATTCGAAATGGGTGATATTTTGGGAATTAATTCGAAATGTGCTATTTTGGGAATTTTATTCAAAAAAGGTGCTATTTTAGGAATTAATTCGAAAAGGGATCTATTTTGTTAATTATTTTAAAAAGGGTGCTATTTCTGTAAAATGGTTGACAGTTTGGTGACCTCTTTGACCAGAACTTTGACCGGTCATTAAACAACCGTTAATATTTTCCGAGTATATCTATCCTGGCATTTTTCGACGTCCCGAATTCGTTTTTGGGGTCGGTTTCACAAAATTCAAACCCGAAAGTCTCTGAATCGTTAGTCAAACCCGTTGACTTTGATTTTGACCAAGAATTCAAATTTTCGGAAAGTCATACTTTATGTTTTTCGACATCCTTAATCTTATTCCGAAGTCAGTTTTGCCAAATTATGACCCGAAATTCCTGAATCGAGCTTGTAAACCCAAAAGGTTTAATATTTCAATATTTTGATTATTTATTTGAGATTTGGTTAAGGAATTGATTCAATAAAAATATTTTATGAAGGTACTCGTGTTTCACCTGAGCAAGGATCATTTAGGTCCGGTGTTGTCCGTTCGTTAGATCAGCCTGAACCGCGTACTACGAGAATTACCCGTAGGTTTTCGTATATTATTTAAATAATATTTAGATTATTTATATTATGATTCCAATATGGATTTTTCCAATTCGTAGGATCTAGTGCTGCAGCAGAGCGTGATCGACAAAACCAGTAATAAGCTTCCCTATCTGATTTCTCAGACTGTTACAGGTGTGTTTCATGACAGTGTTATTTTACTGTTTTAAAAATATTGTTTGAATTGTTTTAGATTGGTGATAATTCATAATACTGTTATGACATGATACGTGATTCCTGAATATTGATTTCCTGATATCTGATTTCTGTATTTTGGTATATGGTTTTTTAAGCATGAATTATTCACCAATTTTACTTGAATACATACTTGTTTATTACTGACATTTGGGGGGAAAATTGTTGGAGGAAGAATACTTTCAGGCTCCTCGGCTTTATGCTCAGGGCTTTACTGGACGTGACGGGGTGTATGGTTCTGGGGAACCTACACATTTTGTTCGTGACGGATGGGGGTAGTGTTCATATTTTAAATAAAACAAACATGTTTAATGAAATGATTTTACTGAAATGTTTTATTAAAATGTTTTTATACACTGTTTGAAGCACACTGGGCTTTTTAGCTCATTCTATAGTTTTTACCCTTTTTCAGATAACAGCAGACTGTAAGCTAGCAGATTTGGCATCAGGGGAGATCAACTACTTATTTTGTACGAACATATATCTCTACATGTTTTCCGTTGTATCTGGTGACATGTATTTGCTATCGTTTTGGATATATCTATATTATTAATATTTTGTTTTGTATTAATATAATGTATTGTAATATATATATATAAAACCTCTGAATGGGATATGTGACCACTTAGGTTTGAGTCTAACTTACAGACCGGGTCTGGGGGTTACAATTAGCAACTGCTTGTGCTTCATGAAAGACCCAAATAATAAGTGTTAATTTAGACAACATAAACTGCGAGTCAGCAAACATCAATGATATGGTAATGATTAGGCATGTAAATGAACTCAACGTTCAGTGAACCATTCATGAACCGTGCGGTAGGAAGTTCGTTTATGTTTGTTTATTTATTAAATGAACGAACATAAACAAGATTTTGTGTTCGTTTAATTAAATGAACGAGAACAAATGGCTCGTTTCTTCATTTATGTTCGTGAATGTTTGATTATATGTTCGTTCATTTATGTTCGAATAAAGGGCAATTTGAATATGTTACAAAGATTATTGAAGTTGTTTGGATTTCAAGAAGATTGTTTTGTTGAACAAATTAACTTTAAGATTTTATTATGTTCATATAGTTTATTTATGATTTATGTATGTTTTTGTCGTATTCGAACAAATTAACTCTAAAGTTGCAGGTTATATTAAAGAATTTTAAGTTTTTATTCTTGTTGTTTACTTTTTTTACATTCATTTGTTGTGTTCGAATAAGTTTGTTTTTTGTGTTTTTGTTGTTTGTTTATGTTCGTTTATTGGGTTCTATTATGTTCATTTATTATGTTCGTTTATGTTCATTCATTTGTGTTCGTTTACGTTTGTTTATATTCGTTTATCATTTAAATGAACGAACATGAACAAGCTATATTCCTTAATGAACGAACATGAACAAAAAAATTTTGTTCGTTTATGTTCGTGTTCGTTTATGTTCGTTTATTTATTAAATGAACGAACATGAACATATCTCCGTTCGTGTGCGTTCGGTTCGTTTACAGGCAATGATATGATGAATTTAGAAAGAGATGGAATAGGGGAAATTGGATTTTATTTGGGGATTTTTATTTTTAATTTTTTCCTTAACCATGTTGTGTTCGAGTAAAAGTTGTTTTTTCTTTGGTGGTTCTCCTCCCGTTTCTTCACGACGTTGACGTCATCGGCTTTCCATGTGGGCGTCGTTTATAGGCTTTAAGGGATGTCCGGCCCATTTGGCCATATAACTTAGGGGTGTGCAAATCAGGGTACCCGACATTCGGGTTGGTGATTTCTTGGCCCGTGTCTTGACCCGGATGTTGGGGGTACCCGATAATCGGGAACCTGGATTTTGCGAGTACCTGATACCCAATTTTTTTTTTCATTTTCATATTATTAATTTTAAAAAATATATATACAAATTTAAATGTTCGAAACTTTGAATTACATACTCCAACATCCGAACATAAAATTTAAAAGTTCAAAATACAAATATAATAATCTATAATATAAATAACCCATTATATTATATATATATAAACTAATTGGGTATTTGAGTAACCGGGCACCCAGAAACTTCAATTTTGTGACCCGGGTCCGACCCGGCCGTGTAAAATTTTTTTTAGAAAATTATCTATTTTTATGTACGGGTCAGCGGGTCGGGTCAACCGGGTCGGGTAGTTTTGCACACCCTTAGTATAACTGCCCATGTTTCAATTTTAGCCTAAACTACACCCATGACCACTTAACTATAGGTGGATTCTATTTTGAGCATTATTCTTTAAATTTTATCAATCAGACCACTTAAACATTATCCATTAAATCTTTTATCATTAATATTTGACAAAAGAGCTGATGAGCTAGTTAAAATTTGATATATTTATATATATGATCTTCATTACTTACACATTTAATCAATTTGGTTCATTAAATTTAACCATTTAAATAGACAGTGACACATATCACTATTTGAATATTGGATTTTCCTTAATTTTTTATTTTATTTAATTCAATAAATGTTACTTCAATCAAAAGGTGACATGAATAAATATTTAATTAAATAAAAAATAAATTAGATTATAATTAGATCATTAAGAAATGAACTTGTGTCTTTTGAGTTGTGAGTCTGGGTTTAGGCATACCTCTGCCACTAGATGAAACCATGAATTTTGTAATAAGTTAAATTGTAGTTAATGTAGAATTTAAAATGAGAATGATTTTAAATTTTTTTATATTTTTAAATAAAATTTATTATTTTATAAAATAATTCTATTTTAGTTATGTAATCGTTGACGTTGGGATATTGAACATAACAGTGAGCTTGACTGACTTCTGTTGTTGATCCTCACAGAACTTCGGAGATGGGGCTGCCCCTTAGCCATACGAGTGGTATCTTGACCTCCGGCGTTTCGGAACTGTTAAACATTGAGGGTTTGAGTTAGGCTTTGAACGAATGATACTCTTTGGATTTGCCTGAAAGCAGTAGATTGTTTAGCATGATTTAGATTTAGTCGGTCAGAGGAGTTGAAGAAAGAATGGTGCCGATGCCGTAGTTCGGGGTGGAGAACTTACCCCTCTGCTCTACCAAGACCTGTTAACCACTAGTTCTCACTGCAACAAAAACCAGAGCTGCAGGATTCTTCATCGACTCGATTTATAATGATAAGTTTGTTATTTGATCTAAAACTGAGCATCTTATCATATGATTGTCCTCAATGTCAATGGTTAAACCTGCTATGTTTAGTTGCTCAATTCATGACTATAATATAACAGTAGCTTGAGATGAATAACAGGATACTCTTTCTGCGATAAATTCCAACAGGCATCAAAAGTCTAGTCAACAATAGACAAAACATGACGAACATAATGTCCCATAATTGTAACACTAGCCAAAATTCTGAAGTAAACTTGGTGAACTAAAGATCAATGAAATTACTCCTCGTCGTCGATGACCTTGGTTCCTAGACCCTTCAGTCCTTCAGCTGGGATTTCTGCGACAGTTACCAGGGAGTAGAGCTCCTCCTTAGCATCTTCGTCGTCGTTTCTCTTGCGAGCAATGCGGACCCTTATCCTTCTTGGGACACTTCGGATCCCTCTGCTCCAGATGTGCTTGTTCAGCTTGACATCAACTCTGACATCCTTTGTCCCCATTGCTTTTTCTGCAAATTTCTTGATCTCCTTTATAGACTTGGGAGCCTTCTTCTTGAATGTACTGTGAACGAGATTACCACGAGAGAAAGTTGAAAATCAGTTGCTCAAACCTTTCCCCGAACATCATCGATGAGCATATATGATTGAACATATTTTCCTGACGAAGTGATTCTCAGCTCCAGAAATAACTCATGATTCCAACCAATTCATCATGGTTATCGATTATTCTATAATGCCGAAGCAGTCAAAATAACTACAATATGATACAAAATTATGTAAACTACTTTTGCATTAAACCCATCATTATTTTCCTATAACTAACATTCATTCCTAAGCTTCCAGGGGAACATGAATCTCTCAATCACTTGCAGGCTCATCTCTAAAGAGCCATTACTGATCCCCATGAAAAATCACTACCTTGACAGCTAAATTCATGACTACAATAGCTCAGCCTAGAGGCTAAAAGTCAATAACAACATGAAAAGCTCCACCCGTGAGCGACAAAAACGTCAATAAATCAAGTGAACGAAATGAAAAAAAGCACAAATGAAAAAAAGCACCACAAAGCAACGAGCACAATACAAAGAATAAAAAGGAAACAGACGAGGAAAGCAAAGCAAATAAAATGGTTTTCTTTGTTATAAAGGAAAGATCAGCTACCAGCCATGGAGGCGCTTATGAAGGTTGATGGTGTACTCTCTAGTCACCACCTCTTCCTTTCTTCCCCTTGTTTTCTCAACCATTTGCACTCCCTCTTACGTTGGACCTTACCTGCATTCATTCACCCATTCGTCATTTTCAAAATAACCCAACTCTTCATCAACGGAAATTAGCATGAAGAATCAGAAACAGAGAAAATAGTAATACAGTTCTTAAATTTATAGTTTTCCGCTGTGTTTTCTAGGAAACCAAACGGAGGGAAAAGGCGTAAGATACCTGATTGGATTTATGGAAAGCAGAAGCGAGCCGACGAGAGACGAAACAGCTGGAAGGCAGCTCAAGCAAAAATATACACAAATGAGCAAACCCTAACTACCATACAGCTTGTAGACACCCATTTTTGACCGGACTTAAATAATATATTATATTATTATTATTATTATTATTATTATTATTATTATTATTATTACTTACTTATTATTATTATTATATTATTAATACTATTAATATTATTTTTGCAGGCTCCACTACCCCACTATTATCTCAACTACACACACCTACCCACCTACTTCACTACCACATGCATCAGGGAGCAAATGGCATGGATTTGGAGTGTTTGAAATTAGCTTTAAATAAGGGGGGACACTACAGATCAGGGGGGGATTTTCGGAATAATGGAGCACTGCATGGAACTGAGAGCACTGAAATCGAGTGTAAGAGGAGAGCTCACCATGCAGAAGACCCAACAACGTGTTGTTAGGATGATTTCTTGGCCATGAATGTTATCAACGGCGGCGCCATTCCCGACGAAGATTTCTCCGTTGATTGTTTCTTTGATTTCAATAACGGAGAATTTGAAGAAGATTCCGTCAAAGAAAAGGACTTTGTTTCTGTTTCGTATCAAGAACGTGTAGCAGACGATGATAGTAATTCGAATTCCAGCAGTTTTTCCCTCGGTTCCGTCTTTACCAGCGAACTTTCTGTTCCGGATGATGAAATAGCAGGGCTTGAATGGGTGTCTCACTTTGTGGAGGACTCGTTGCCGGAGCTTCCTTTGCCATGCATGGGTTTTAAGCAGCAAACCGAGAACCGTGAAAATACTCCGTTTGAAGCGGAACCTGGCCCGGTTTTTGTGAAAACGCCGTGTTTTTCGTTGTCAGTTCCATCTAAAACGAGGAGTAAAAGGGCTAAATCGGCTTTCCCGACATGGTCGATTGGGTCGCTGCCTAAGCTCAAGTCTGCCATCACTGGAGGTGCTTCCACCTCTCTTTCTGGCCCTAAAAAGACCAAGGGCCGTGGGTTTCGCGATGAAGATGCCAACCGCCAGTCCCGTCTCACCTCCCGCGACTTCGAGTCCCTTGGCACCAATGGTGGCCTCGGTCCCCAGAGATCTATTGAAGGATGGATTATTTTGGTCAGTGGTGTACATGAGGAAGCCCAAGAGGATGATTCGCACAATGCATTTGGTGAATTTGGTGAGATCAATAATTTGCATTTAAATCTGGATCGCCGCACTGGATTTGTTAAGGTCGGCAACATGGTAAATTAGTGCATTTTAATCCTTCATGTTTTCTATTCATTCATTTGAATGTATTAAGGCAATTCAATTGCTTTTAGTAGTGGGTTATTTATTTATTTATTTGGTAATTTCGTTTTTCTCTTCTTCTTTTTTATTTCATTTTTCATTTTTATTCCTTTTTTAAAATTGTTAAATATTATTATTAGTTGTTATTTTTTAGTTTTTTTATTTAGATAATCATTTTTTAGGTTTTTTTATTTCATTTAACTATTTTTTCCTTTATTCATATATATATTATTTTATTATTTCTTTTATTTTTACCTTTTCTATATTTATTTTTTTATCGATTTCATTATTATTATTATATTAATACTTTTTGTTTTATTTTTTATTTTTATTTTACAATTTAACATTTGTGACTTTTTAAGGGATAATTTCAATCGATCAAAGGTAAGCAATTTGAATTTAATTATTAAATTTTAATTTCGAATTTTCGCAACTAAGACAACCGACAAATTAATTGGTACCGAAAGGGCGGTTTAAGGGTGCTAATCCTTCCTTGACCGTAACCGACTCCCGAACTCGACACATTTCTGGTACAACGCAGATCAGGTAAGATGGTGTCCGACCCACCTAAGTTCGTTTTAAAATGGTCGGTGGCGACTCTAACCTAATTCATTCACGTCGAAGCCCAATTTCGAGGCCCAACCGAAAGACGGTTGCGACAGTTTGGCGACTCTGCTGGGGACAGGTAAGTGAGTCAGGCCGAAATTAATTTTCGGTTGTCTTTTTATGCGAAAATGGTAAATTTAAATTTAAATTTATTTATTCGATTCCAGTTATTTACCTTTGATTATTTTTTTAAATAAATAGTTGTACTAACATTTTTTTAATGATTTCAGAGATTTTTGAAAAGTTTCTATCTCAAGCTCTATACCCGAGCTCCAAACCCTTTTAAGTGGGGGTGAAAGCGACGCATTCGTGTGAATTTATTCACCGCATATGCCTAGAAAGTAGCCTTCGGGATTCATATACCTTATGTCTTCGTGTGAATTTATTCACCGTGCGGGCATAAGGGAATGTTTCCTCTCGAGTTTAACTTAGTCCACACAAGCCTGTGATGTGTTTAGGACTAAGGGTCTGGCAAGCCCAAGGGGGCACCAGCAAGGAGAACTCGAGTACCGTTTTTAGAACCTAAACCGGGAGAGTGCAGGGAATTAGAGCCCACCCCAAAACCTCATTCCAAACCCTAGGCTGTTTTATTTCCTACTTTATTTTTTGCTCAAAACATGCGAACTAAACAAATATGCGGTTAGGATTTGTTTGAAATTAGCATGCGGGATAGAGATCATGTCCGGGTAGGAATTAAAGCATGTGGGGTAGATATCATGTGGGGTAGGATTTTTTCATTTTTATTATTGTTTTGATTTACCTCACTAACTCTTTTTATTTTTTGTTTTCTTTTATTCTGTTTTCATCATTCGCATCATTTAAAACGAGGTGTTGATCCACCAAAAATGTGTTTGTTAAACATGAATAATCAGCATTAATGGACAAAAGGGTTGTAATACAAGAGATGAAAATGCAGAGGGCAGTCTACAAGGCGACTATGTGTCACCTTCAATCCAGAGGACGTGGTGCCCGCAATTGAAGAGTATATCATCATACTGCATTATAAAGGACTCAATGAACCGGGTCTACATCAAGCACAATGAAAGTCCATCTTTGAAGAACTGACTGGCAGAAGTTGCAGGGGCAAGATGAAGACCACTGATCTTAGGATTCACTTCAAAGACGACAATGGCAAAACGATAACTGAAATTGAAGACCATTACTGACGAATTCAAGAAACAGACAAATGGACTTCACATAGTTCCTATCAATTAAGGGCTCCAATGACGTATTCGTTGGGAACAGACTCAACAAAAGATAAATGTCAGAGGTGCAGTCCTTCGAGATTTTTTTAGGGCAAACAACTCATCATTTGCACGGTTCATCCAGAGAAGCCAGAGCGGTTCGACAGGTTATTCAACTGGTGGCGGATGAAGGCGGAAGACTAGTCAACATGTCAGAAGCTGTCAGAATATTTTTTGTCTCTTAAAAGATAAAATACTTTTGTCCCAATAAGGATTATTTCTAATAACATGCACGTTTTTTGGATCAATGCCTCGAATATTTCATGCATCATGCATTCAGACATATTGTGCGTTTTGTTATTTTTCTTTACATTCACATTAACTATCTTCACATGTTTCATCAAAAATGAGAACATTTCGATCCTATGACCTACAAAGAGCTCTACAAATAACTTTTTGACACTCACATAGTGTCACCATATCCGGTGGAACCCACGAAGCCCCCATACCCCAAGTGGTATGATGAGAATGCGCATTGTGAATATCACGGCGGAGTCCCAAGGCACACAATTGAGAACTGTTACGCATTCAAAAGGGTCATACAAAAGATGCGTAACCAGAACTGGATCGACTTCAACAACTTGGGGGCATCCAAGTGAGGGAGATCATTTCATCATTTGAGGCATTCTGTTTGAACTTTTTTTTTTCCACTTTTTCAAGTTTTTGTAAGAACGTGAACTTTTTTTTTCCACTTTTTCAAGTTTTTGTAAGAACGTTTGAATAAATTTATGTTACTTTAATGATGACGAACAATGAATCACATTTGTAAACTTGCAATTCTTTGAATATCATTTGAATTAAGAAACTCTGTTAATGGTTCAAAGTTACGGATCTTTGACAAAGTAACATGATTTAAAAAAAAAAGGACTTTGACCTTATCCAGAATATACCCTCAAACACCGTACCCTGCTCTTACAATTAACCAATACAACCTTTTCTTTTCATAAGGTGCGGACAACACGGGGCATCATTTGCATATGACAATTACTATGTTTTTTATTTAAGACGTTCAATGACGATGAGAATCTTTACAAATGAAAGAGTCGGGTAGGTGAATCCGGTTTAGGTCAGTTGCTTGAAAATTGAACTCTAAAGATGAAATTTTTGACTTTCAACAACACCTAGACTATAACAGGTTCTTCTTAACAATCTTAAGAAATTAAATCTGTAAAGCTGAGCTATTCCACTAAGGCAATTGGTTATAGAGGAAACTCGAAAGCCCTGGCTTTATGAATAGATGTCATTCAAACCATGACATTGCTCGGACACTTGGCAATTCGGTGTTTGCTCCACTGCTTTTGTCTGGCCGAAGACTTTGTGATGAGATGAACCCTTCAGTTAACTTGATAAAAATGATTATAATGATAAGTTGTCCCTCTAAAGCAATTGGTTAAGCGCCCCGGCTTTATGGATTCAGCTAGCCAGATAACGGCAAATTAAATCGAATTTATCTAAGCATGAAGTTTCGGTAAAATGGACTAAGGGAGTTAAGGAACACCTGTTATAGTCGACTACACACGAGCACTCAAGAATTTCATTTTTAGACCGATATTTTTCGCACTGCCTTTATTGGAGGAGCCTACAAAGCTTGAACAAATGGAAGATTTCAGAGGACCGAAATAAAATGTCTAGTAATTGGTCATTCTAGTTGCGTCATTATGTCCGCACCCAAATGAAATGCCAAAGCATATTTCGATATTTAAAAAAAATGACATTTTGGGTTACCAAAACCTTAGAAAGGAGGCTAACCTAAAGTCAACTCATCCATTTGAACATTTGTCAAAGATTTGTAACTCTGAAAGCATTAAAAGAGCTCTTGATTCCTTTGATATTTTTTGAACTCGCATTTACAATTTGATTCAATTGCGAACAATATTTTACAACATTTTTATCATGTCTCTCTCCTTAAAACAAGAAAAAGGAGAAAAACATTTTCAAGCAGAACAGTCT